ATCTATCTATCTATCTATCTATCTATCTATCTATCTATCTATCTATCTATCTTCTATCTATCTATCTACCTACCTATCTATCTATCTATCTATCTTCTATCTATCTTCTATCTATCTATCTATCTATCTATCTATCTATCTATCTATCTATCTTCTATCATCTATCTATCTATCTATCTATCTATCTATCTATCTATCTATCTATCTATCTATCATCATTTACATATCTAACTATCATCGATTTTTCAGTGTAACAGTAATCGAGAAACAAATTTAGTGGATCTAGAATGGCCTGAGAGATAGAGAAATTTTACTCAGTTTTTATTTTGCACATTTTATTAAGTCCCTCTTGACCTTTCCTTGCCCAGAGTCTCCTGCCCAACTTTTCACAAAATCTTTGTCTCGGTTTTTCCTGCTTATTGAAATATACGCCTCTTTAGTTCTGCCCCATTCCAGCCCCTGCTGGTTACAGCAGGTGTTAAGGTCAGAAAACCAATTCAGGCTAATGAGTTAACCAGAAAATGGCTCAGAAAAATACTTTGACTCTTAAAAAGCATCCCTCAGGAAGACAATGATGTTGAGCCTGCCAGGCATTTATGCTGGGGGTAGGGTGGTAGCGGTGGCGCCTTTTACTGTACATAGTCTTGAAGCTTTCTATCCCACTAATCCAAGTCTCCCAGCTCAACCTGGCCATTTTTATATTCTCGGCATTTTACGCTGAAGTAAGGATAAGGTACTGCTTCTTGTGTGTGTGTGTGTGTGTGTGTGTGATATGCATTTATAGTTGATGCATGCTTTGCACGCTTGTGTGAGTGTCCACGCTATCAACACAGTGTCTTCCTCTCTTGCTCTCCACATTTTTTTCTTTTTCTGAAATGGGGTTTCTCACTGAACCTGCAGCTCACCTGTTGGCTAAACTAACTGGCCAGTGAGCCCTCACATCTGCCTATTTCTGTTGCCCTTAGCTGGCAATGTGTGCCACGTCTGAGCTTGGCTTTTCTGTGGGTGCTGAGGACCTGAACTCAGGAATACATGCTTGTACAAGAATAATCTTATCAATGGTGTCATCTACCCAACCCTTGCTTTTTGTTTTCTATGTTGTCTATGGGGGCT